ACCCTCCATATCGTTCTCCACAGTGGCTGGACAAATTTACATTCCCACCAACAGTGTAAGAGTGTTTCCCTTTCACCACATCCCCTCGAGCACTTATCATTATTTGTTTTTTTAATCTTTGCCATTCTGACTGGGGTTAGGTGGTATCTCATTGTGGTTTGATCTGCATCTTCCTTACAATGAGGGATGCTGAGTATTTTTTCATATGCTTTTTGGCTGTTTGTATGTATTAGAGAGTTGTTTACTCAGCTCTTATTCCCATCTTTTAATTGGATTAATCATTTTCTTCTGGGTAAATTGCTTGAGTTCCCTGTGTATTCTGGTTATCAGTTCCTTACCTGAGGCATAGTCAACAAAAATTCTCTCCCATTCGAAGGTTTGTCAATTTACACTAGTTACAGTGTCCTCTGCTGTGCAGAAACTCCTAAATCTGATGTAATCCCACCTGTCTATTTGGAGGAGTATTGCCTGTGCTTTGGGGGTCTTCCTTAAGAAGTTTTTGCCTACCCCAATGTCTCCCAGAGTCCCCTCAGTGTTTTCCATCAGTAGTTTTATAGTTTACAGTCCTAGGTTTAGATCTTTGATCCACTTTGAGTTGATTTTTGTTAATGGTGACAGACAGAGGTTCAGATTCATCTTTCTGCAAGTGGATACCCAGTTTTTCCAGCACCATCTGCTAAAGAGGTTTTCCTTTTTGAGGGCTTTTCCTGAGATTAACAACAAGTTTAATTCCATCATGGTCAGAGAAGGTGCTAGATATAGTTTCTGCCTCTGAATCTGTAAAGGCTGGTTTTTGTGGCCTATCACGTGATTAATCTTTGAGACAGTACCATGCAGGGCTGAGAAAAATGTATATTTTGTGTTTTTAGGGTGGAAAGTTTTATAGATTTCTATCAAGTCCATCTGATTTATGGTATCATTGAGGTCCTGAGTCTCTTTCTTATTTTTTGTCTTGTTGACCTGTCTAAAGGAGATAATGGGGTGTTGAGATCTCCAACAATTATAGTGATACTGTCTATCTCTCCTTTTAGATCTAACAGTCTTTCCTTTACATATTTGGGTGCTCCTGAATCAGGTGCATAGATATTTATAAGCATTATATCTTCTTGGGGAATTAGCCCTTTTACTACTATATAATGTCCTTCTTTGTCTTTTCTTATGGTTTTTGTCTTGAAGCCTATTTTGTCTAAATCAGTTTAGCAACTCCTGCTCTTTTTTGGTTTCCATTTGTATGGAATACCTTTTTCCATCCCTTCACTTTTAGTCTATGTATGTCTTTATCCATGAGATGGGTTTCTTGTAGGCAGCCGATGGAAGGTTTCTGATTTTTAATCCATTAACATTCAATGCTGTTATTGATATTTCCAGACTTGTCCCTACCATCAAGTTGGCCATATTCCTGGTAGTTCTCTTATTGCTGTCTGTCTCTCTTTAGTTTTCTTGATATAGTACTCCTTTCTAAATTTCTTGAAGAGCTGGTCTGGAGTTGGTAAATTCTCACAATATTTATTAAGAGGTACTTCAGGAACCAGCAGTTGGCATAATGGCTATGTCGCTGGACTCCCATGTAGCCGACCGCGGTTCAAGTCCTGGACCCAGTGGCTTAAACTCATGCTGGGCGCGTGTGTTTGCATGCCCAAGATCCCGAGAGGAGAAGGGATTGTGGCGTAGCCACCCCCCCCCTGGAGGGGTTATCTCTCGCTTTCTGTCTCTCTGGCGAGTGCAAGCACCCTATAACAAAAACCTCTCAAAAAAAAAAAAAAAAAGGTGCTGGACTCCCATACTGTTGAGCATGGTTTGAGTTCTGGACCCAGCAGCTTGAAACTCAAGCTGGGTGCATGTGTTTAGGTGCCCATGATCCTGTGAGGAGAGTGGAGGAAAAGGGATTATGGCATGGCCATACCCCGCAGGGTTGGTGGTTTTTCACTTTCTCTCTGTTTCTCCTGTTAAAAAAACAAAACAAAAAAACCCACTATACTGCTTTCTACATTATAGTGTAGTGTAGCCACTGTAGTGATGATGTATAAAAGTTCTAATATAAGCTAATAACCTTTGTTTTAAAGAATTTTTATTTAACTTCATTTATTTATTTTGTAATTAGACCACCAGAGAGGGACAGAGTTAGAAAAAGAGAGAAAATGAGAAAGCAAGCCGCTAGGTCCAGGACTCGAACCACAGTCGGTCATGTGAGAGTCCAGTGCCCCCAACCACCATGCCACCTGCCGGCCCCAATAACCATTTTTAAAATCAGAAACTTATTAAGGACAACAGACATACAAACAGACTTACAAACTTTTTCTTCTAAAAAGCAAAAAAACTCTTTGGCCTTCACACAAATTTCATGTTATCATTTACAACTGTAAAGCTTTTTTTCTTTTTTGTCTTGATTATGTAACCATGCTATTAAATATTCTGGGGATATAAAATGTTTCATGTCAATACAAGTATTAGTGATGATTAATATCTTCATAGTTTAAATAGTTAGATAAAATATAAATTACTCACAAGCCCTATTTTGTTTTATGAAAAATATGGAAGTATTCTATATGTTTTATCTAGTTGTACTGACAGTACTCAAAGTCTTAAGTACAAAGATGAGCAGTCTACTCACATAGGATATATTAAAAGGGTTATCGGTGAATATAAAACTTTGTTCTTTTCAGATTTTAGATTAAGAGGCCTGTAGCAAACAATGTAATGAAGAAAAAATTTTCACATAAAAACTGTATGCTAATTCGATAAAGAAGACATTTTCACATAAAAACTGTATGCTAATTCGATATAGTTTACTTCAAATAAGTTATTTTATTAGGTTACTAAGACTACACAGGAGGCAAGTCTGTGTCTGTTATCTGAGGCACTATCTTCTGACCTTTGTACTCAGGGGCTAAGAAATGCTTTAAGAACCATAATGAGGCTGCCTTTTAAATAGAGCTCAGTGCTAAAACTAGAGCAGCTATTTCCTCAGGACACATGCATATTCAAATACAACTTAAGAGTCTGTATCAGTCATATAGAAGTTTCTTTTTTTTTTTTGAGAAGGTTCTTGCTTTAGGGCCTATGAGCGCCAGAAAGACAGAGAGAAACAGATACAGAAAGTGAGAAATCATCCCCCAAGGGGGTTGACCACCCCACAATCCCTTCTCCTCCATTCTCTTCTCAGGATCTTGGGCATGTAGCACACATACCCGGCATGAGTTTAAGCCACCGGGTCCAGGACTTGAACTATGGTCGACTACGTGGGAGTCCAGCGACATAGACATTATGCCAACTGCTGGTCCCCATATAGAAGTTTCTTACATGTTTATAGTTCTTATTTCTTTTTCCTGGTTATTACTTTTTTTTTTTCTCTATAGGGTACGTGTGCCCGCCAGAGAAGGAGAATGAGAAATCACCCCCCCCAAGGAAAATGGGAGCCAGACCAGTTACTGTCTCTTAATCGTGTCTCTGCTAATTAGTAGTTCTATCAGTTCAAAAATAGGATAACGACAGGGAAGAAAACACCAAATTTATTGGTCATGCTTGAACTTAATTTTAGAATCCAGTTTTCTCTAACTAGACAAAGAGAAGGCTAGTCTGAATCATTTAAAAATTACTACATTTTAGGCATAGCCGTTCTAAAGATCTACCAATTGGTAGACTTACTACTGCATAAGTATTAATGTATAAGTAAATGCTCTTTCTTATGTTGATGCAGCTTATGTTTCAAAACAACAGAGGTATCTCAGAAAATACTGCTTATATCCTTCATTTGCTTAGCTAACCTCTTCTTCAAACAGGCAAATTTCAGTCCTTGTCAAAAGAAAAAAAAAATTACCATTTTTGGCACTCAATTATTATAATCTACCTTACTTAGGTTAAGTAAAAATAAAAAACAAAATTGGCTGTTAAATGCTTTCAATGAATAAATTTCTGGTAAGATAGTATGGCCTCCTTACCAATATGAGCTCTGTCAGATATGATAAGCCTTTTCTCCCAGCCTTCTAGACCTAGAAGAAATGGGAAATATATATATTAAATTATTTTGCATAATACATTTTTAATTTTTGAACCTTAATTAGAAATACAATGTCTACAAATGTTTGTACTGCAGCAAAGCATTTTCTCACCTGCTATTCATTCTATATACTCTCACTCGTGCTCTATCTTTCCAGATGCTTTGCTATAAATAGGTCAAAACTCAAACCAGTCATATCCACATACAAGAATTCTGGGAGCAGGCCCTGCGCCG